CATCATTTAGCATAAAAAAAAAAACTCTCGAGTGCTCAAAATGTACAGCAGGAAAATGGGTCAGGAAAACTTCACACTGTGGAAAGCAACAATCAGGAGCTCTGACCACACCATATACATAGGAATGTATTTAAATGAACATACAGTCATAAGTGATTTACATATACCAAGCATTCCTATCGTCCTACTAACTAGACCAAGAAAAGCGGAGTAGATTTTGTTCAGGTGTTCCAGCAATGGACATTTCAATTTGTTACTGGGTTACTCTAAAAGTCCAACACCAGAAGCAATGAGTGGAAGTAGCTGTCTACTGAGGACTTAACTTCTAGAATGACTAGTTCTAGTCCTTGACTTGTAGGATGACAAAGCTACCTCTCTGGATTTCCATTTAAAACATGAGGAAATAGCTGCCTTGCATATTCCACACATCTAGGCACTGAAGTAGTCCCATTTTTAAAAATCACAGTAAACAGGAATTAAAATTCTCTATAAGATAAAGAGGTCCAATAAACACCATGTCATGTCCTCATAGGTTATTTTAGAAGCTGTTTTAAAGGGTGAACAATACTAAAGCCATGGGGACAGGGTGCCTACTTGTAGCTCACAAGTATAGAAACATTCACTATACCTATTCATAAGAATAACAGCCTTACTAATGAAAAATACTCAGAGAAGTATCTATTTTCATGATATTGAGTAGACACATATGAAACTTGAAAGATAATATAAGCATTATTTACAATACCTAAGATGTGAAAACAACCTAAATGTTTATTTTTGGATGAATAGATAAAATAAATGTGTGTACATTGTGTATATGCATGTTTGTGTATATGTAAGTGGACTTTAAAAAGAAGGAAATCCTGCCATCTGTTACTGAAGGACAAAATACCACAGCCCATAGAAGCAGGCACTTGAATATATTGGTTTCTAGGAGAGAAAGATAAGGACCTCTCATTCAATGAATTTTACAAGTCTGTGTTATATACCATCATGCCTAAAGTTAACAATCCTGTATTGTAACTTAAAAAGATCTTATGTTATATATTCTTAGTACAATTAGAAAAGTAAATAAATAACTGAGGTGGACACATTGGCACGTGCTTTTAATTCTAGTACTCTAGAGGCAGAGGCAGACAGATCTATGTGAGTTCAGGCCTGCCAGTCTACATAGCAAGTTCTAGGCCAGCCAAAGCTACATAGCAAGATCCTACCTCAAAACAAAAGAAAACAAAACAACAATAAAGCACTGATGTCCAAGAATAAATTTTTCCATCTCTTATCATAAGGATCCCTCCAAAAAGAAACAGAAGACTATTGCTAAGGGGAAGGGAATGGTCTGTGAGAGTAGTCAGTTAGATTTTTCCATGTATTTCATGAATTTTTTTTAGAGTATTATAATGGTTGGTACAAAACTACTGGTGAGTTTTTAGGCTTAATTATCACTTACATTATAATTTCTGTAGATACAGCTTTCATGATCATAATTAGAAATGATCTTATGAGCCACATGTTGTGGTACATGCCTGTAATCTCAGTACTTAGGAGGCTGAGGCAGGCAATAACAAGTTTAAAGGCCAGCCTGTGCTACAAATTAAGACTTTCTTTTTATTCAGAAAATAATACAAAGAACAAACTTGTATATCAAAGAAATGGCATCTTAAATAATAGGAAACAGGAATAAAACAAATTACATAAAAAACAACCAATATATTGAAAACATACCTTATTCCAGAGAGAATATCATAGGCATGAAGATCTAATATATTTGAGAGATGAACTCTAAAAGAAAGGAAATGCATTTAAACAGCTGAAAATTTTGTGAAATATATCCAATTGATTAAGAATAAAATTTCAAATTGGCACAGTGGCACAGGTCTAAAATCTCAGCATTGAGGAGGTAGATAAAAGGATCTGAAGCACATCCATGGCTACAGACTGAGTTCAAGGTCAGCCTGGGCTACATGAGACCCTGTCTCAAAAAGAAAAATCTCTAAGGATCTTTATCAAAATATGTAAACATAAAGATAATCAGCCTTGGAGTTGGAGAGAGAGCTGAATGGTTAAAGCATCTGCTGCTTTTACAGAGGACCTGGGTTTGGTTCTCAGCACTTCTTGGTGGCTCACAACGGCCTGAAACTCTAGTTTCAGGAGATCTGATGCTGTTTTCTGACCTCCATGAGTATTAGACACACATGTGGTACACATACACACATGCAGGCAAAACAATCCTACACACAAAATAAAAATAAATATTTTTAAAAACTAGCATATTACATTTAGGTAGATACATAAAATGACAGGCCAGAAAAAAAGAGAATTCTACCTAAAATTCCTAAAAGTAGCTGAATGGTAAAGATCAGGCAAATAAACAAACAAACAAACAAATAAATAATTACTTGTTTAAAAAAAAAAAAGAAGGGAGTTTTCCTTTCCACTTCTTACTGTCCTTCAATTATAACTCCACATGCTTTAAAATATTTTTAGAGTTAAAAACGATCTAAATAACCTTTTCTAAGCAACTATGACCCCAAATAAAAGAAGTAACACATGGACAGTGGTTTACACACATTCCAAATGCCTTTGGGATTTTCCCAATTCTTTAATTTCTTCTTATAATAAAATATGTAATAGAAAAATACTAGGACTAGAGAGAGATAATATAAAAATACTAGGCTCAGTGGTTAAGAGCACTGGCTGTTCTTCCAGAGGACCTGGGTTCAATTCCCAGCACCCACATGGTAGCTTATAGCTGTCTCTAACTCCTGTTCCAGGGCATCTGACACCCTCACACATACATACATACAGGACGCCACTGTTGTTCATATAATTAATTTATTATAAAAATGCTTGGTTTGTCTCTCTGGGTGTGGTTGTTTGTGTCTTTCTTTCCTGCCCTTGCTTGGGAGGGGCAGGTGTATCTCTGTGAGTTTGAGGCCAGCCTGGTCTCCATAATGAGTTTGAGGACAGCTATATAGTGAGACCCTGTCTGGTGGTAGTGGTGGGGATACTAGGACTCTGGGGCCGGAAGTACAGCACCTTGACAAAGCCTATGTAAAACTCTGGAATCAATCCTAAATACCAAAATACATACAAAAAACACCAAAAGGAGTCAAACCACCAGGGTGAGAATTAATATGAGCTCCCTCTGGAGCCACACATCTGATTGTACTTGTTCAGAATGCGGGCACAAGTAGAGTAGAGTAGATAAACTTCCCAGTTCACAATGCTGTCAGAACAAATGCTTTCTCTGAAAATTAGTTATGACTGAACCTAATTAGGAACGCAGCAATTCGAATCACTAAGAATCAACTTCAACCAGCGCTTGCTTTAGTTTAAATACACAGATAAACTCATAAAACGGGTGACTGATTTTCAGTTTTAACATAAGCCCATGGGAGAGCAGAGAACAGTGACTTCATAGTTAAACTAAAATGAAGGGAATATTTCAAAGAAGACAAAACTACAGTCAAAAGTACATTTCAACACTAGACCCAAGCAGCTTGTCAGACATTTCTAAATATATTTTTACAAGGAAAACAAAGTTCATTTGTCACATTCAAGATGTGTAATTAAGCATACAAATGTAAGATAAAATATCTCCTTTAGCTCAGAACTGGCCAGCTATGCTTGCCTTGTTCACTTGCACCCAACAGCCACACACTCAGGACAGCACTCTAGGAGATTATGAACGCTTATCTTAGCATAGACAGACAAATTCCCATCTTATTAACAACAAAGACCAACATTCTATGTTAATATACTATATCAATACTTCAAATATTGGACATGCTAGATGTTCTGAGCCAGGAAAATGATCAGGCAAGGAAGCAAATGTTCTGAGAATGAAGAAATTTTTGAGTATCAATTTACACTAAGAGATCAAAATCCTAGCATTAAGCATATTTCCTTTTCCATCTTACAGTTAAACAATTATCAATAAAGACAAGTTAAAACCACACAAGTTCATCATCTTCACTTCAGCAAACAGTTTAAAGAAGTCTATATACCAATTCTGTGACTGGCCAGTTAGCATTAAACACCACCCTTCTAAAAACAGCCCTGCCCCACTGTGACAGTGTCCTTGAAAACACCATTATGTAGCGATAACTCTGCTTCACAGCACATCCTTTAGGTACTTCTAAGAATGAAAAGACCAACAACAGAATGTTAATAACAGAGTGTCAGAGTCTCTAACCAAATTCTCAACAGTCAGTATAAGAAGATAAATCATAAATCATTGAAGTTTTTATGAATTTTTCCCCAAACTAGCACTGTCTTGAACAAGAAAGTCTGTACTCATTTAAAACATGACTAGAAAAATTTTCATGGCATTGATTATGTTCATTTAATTTCTTCCTTCAGAAATAAAAATATCAGATATTTTCCAAGACATTCAAACAATAAGATCAAAAAACCATTATCATTTTAAATTAAATAGGGAAATAAATCAAAGAAGGGAAAAAAACCCTCAAAAGTTCATTCTTCTCCTACTGTCTTAGACAGCCTGCAGCCGCAACTTTAGAGAGTGCCTCCTAGCCATCTTTTCTAATTCAGTGAGTCTTTCCACAGGGTTCACCAGGTCCACACAGCTGCCGTTATTTCCAAAAACTTGGTGCTAAACTCTAGCACTAAGGTTCCAAACGTTCTCATTACCCTTTCTAAAGCCACACCCATCCTACTCTACCCAAGTCTTTCCAACCTTCCTGTATGCCGTAAACTTCAGACACTAGACCACAGTGAGTCCACCCCCTAAGTGTCTCACTGCTGTGAAATCTTTTAGTAACTCCTTGCTGCCGACAGAAAATCCCACGTGTCATGGCACTCATGGGACTTTATGAAAGACTGCTATACCTTTCCTCTCAGCTACATGCAGCCATGTGTCCTAGTCACTCTAAAATAGTATCTCTGAACGAAAGGCTTCTGTACACCTGGAAAAATCACCTGTACTCCAGGCGATCTGGAAAAACATCCATTCACTGTTTAGGACTCTAATCAAATCATTTTCCTAGTTAAGTTTTCCCGTTTTTCTTCATCAAGAAAAATTGAATGGTCATTTCTCTGCCTTCTTATTCTTAGAGAACTCTGTGCAGACAATATTTCTGTTGTGATATATTAAGAATATCTAAGGTGTTGCTTTTTGCTTGTTCACTTCTCAGTTTTTCCCAAATGACCAGTGTCTTAAAAGAACTTGTAACTGTCCCTTAATCCTGAACCCACCCTGAAATGCCTAGAACCAGTGGAAAATTGAAATGGTTAACTTATTATTGACCAGCTGCATTTTGATTTTCCTCTGTTCAATTCACTTGAATCTCTAAAATTTAAAAAAGTCCAGAAAAGATAAGAATGCATGCCATCCAATGTCCACTCCTACTTCGGAAGTCTATGCAGCCCTTAGAACTAGTACTTGCCTGCCAATCCACTTCAACACTGCCAGTAAGACAACCCCACACATGATTCTTACTCCTGTTTTTACAAAGTCAAGGTGAGCTTTTGCTTATACATGCTTATAGCACTTTCGCTTCTGCCAACCTCAAAATACTAACGGGATTAAAATGGTAAAAATAAATAATGACTCCAATTATTTTGCTAAGAACTAAATCTCTAGTTTCTACACTGGGAAGCCCAAGTTGCCATATATCTCAAGGAATTTGGGGAAATACTTAACGTAAGATTCATGACCCAATAATAAGACTCCTATGCATAGCTGATCTTCATGGACAAGGTCTCTAACTTAACTCCAGTGTTCCCAGTAAGGACATGTTATTTTAGTCTCAGATCCACTGCCAACAGCAGATAATGAAGAACAAGAAGATAAATATTTTCTTCACTTGCACCCTCATTCTTAAGTAATAAACACTGCATGATTAATATTCTTGTAAGAGAGCAAATGTTACAAATACATGATGAATGAAGTCATTACACAATAAGCTAATAAAGAGGGAACTTTATTTAGAACATAAATAATTTCAAAGTGGAAATAAAGAAAATATGAACTGAATATATGCTGTCACAAGAGAAACACCATTACTGATAGGTATGATTCTTAAAAGCTAATTTAAGCGTTACGAAGATGTCTGTCATTTAGAAAGGAAAGAAAATCAAGGCAAAAACAAATATAGACTGTGATAGGAAGAAGACATACTGAGGAATGGCTCAGATCATGTGTTAGATATCATACTTCTACAGTAGAGTTGAAAAATCTGGAAGCACATGGATAGCAGGATCACACCAAAGGCATTTGGGGCGCCTGCAAATGACTACCAAATTCATTCTTCAGCTGCACACATGCTCAGAGCAGCTGCCTCTGTTACTGCTTCACACTTCTGTCAGTCTGTCAGCACCTCTAATCTTTGCTATTGCAGCAAGCCACACAGCTAAGGCTTCTTCTGAATTTGACAATGGAAGGCTCTCTCAGCTAGAGTCTGGGTGGCACTAGACTGCCAGCTGTGTCTCAAAAGGGTCTATTGGCTACTAAGCCACTCTTGTTTCCAACATGAGCTTAACAAAATATCCTTGCACTGAACTTTTCTGAAATCATGCAGCATTCAATGGAAAACAGTTCAATCTACAAAAGTACAGGTCAAAGAGGCTTTTAAAAGAGTAAAACTATTTCAGAAGATTATGCACATCTTTATGAACAGAATTACATGAAGCTATTAGAAGATGTAAATAAAGAGATGCATTAAAATTAAACATAAAAAAATCCATGTATTCTTATTACAGTTTCTTGCAACACTAAGGTTTTAAAGTATTAAAAACCTACTTAGAGGCCTTAAATTAAGATTCCTGAATATGAGCCGGGCAGTAGTGGTGCATGCCTTTAATCCCAGCACTTGGGAGGCAGAGCCAGGTGGATCTCTGTGAGTTCAAGGCCAGCCTGGTCTATAGAGTGAGATCTAGGACAGGCACCAAAACTACACAGAGAAACCCTGTCTCAAAAAACAAAAACAACAACAACAAAAAGATTCCTGAATATGCTTTCCCAGATTTATGTATCATAGCTGTGTAGTTCTTAGCAAAGATACTAACTAAATATAGCAAATTAATTTGTAAAGAGCATTCAGACAATATTTAGGTCTGACTTTAATGCATCTATGTCCTTATTACATCACAATCAAGTTATCAATTTTTAATAACTAAAGGCTAAGTTACTTGTTGTTGGTATTAATAATATTTTTTTCTTTTCTTCCTCCCTCCTTCCACCTCATGTAGCCCAGTACATCCTTGAACTTCCTACATAGTCAAGGCTGATCTTGAACTTCTAGCCTCCTGCCTATATATCCAAAGTGCTGAGATTATAGGTATGTGCACTATGCACAGTTTATGAGTGCTGCAGTCAACTCCAGGGCCTTATTCATGTTAGGTAACAATCTCCCGACTCACATGTACCTTCAGTCCTAGTAATAACTTTAAAAAGTACCTTGATCTTTGAGTTTCTAAAACTTTCCCCAGTCCATTTATTGATCTGAAATAAAAAGCAAAAGGAAAGGGTTAAAAAAAAAATGGTAACTTTTTAAAAAAGCATACAAAATCAATCATTCCTAAAATAAAAGTAAACAGATACAAGTGTAACCAGAACTAGTAAAAATTGAAAAACAAACTTACATTTTTTTTATGGATCAGATTCTTTCTCTTCAAACCACAAATCTAGCACAATCTAGCTGTGCATTTAAGAAAACTTGCTACTCAAAGCCTACCATACAACTGGAAGGCTAGGCAGGACTCTCAGTTATAAAAGGTCCTTCACTTTAGGAAAGGGGTAAGGATGTGTGACTCAGTGGTACAGTCTTTGCATAGCATGTGACTTGGTGGTACAGTGCTTGCCTAGCATGCACAAAACTCCTAGGTTTAACCCCAGCACTGCCAAAAAGAAAAGGAAGAAAAAAGATGATTCATAAGAAGCAGGGATTCCTAATGTTCTTGTATACTAAAAACTTTTGCATGACAGTCAATTTTAACCCATATACTTTGTAGAAATGGTGACTACAGAACACAAAATAAAGGAAAATGGTCCCCTTTGTATGCCACAAAAGACACTTTAATTCCTTTAAACACCGTGAACACCGATGTATTTTTAGAGGATTAATTATCTTTTCTTTACAGATACATATCCAAAGTCTGTGCTGCTTGTTGGGTATGTTCTCACGGGTAAGCCTTCTTGTGTACAATAACTCTGAGGTAAGTCTCACTTTTGGACTACTTAACAAGAGTCTTAATCTTCTCTTCAAAGAAGCCAATCTCCATTGTAGTAACAGCTCAGGAAGCGTTTACTAAGGGCCAAGCACTCTGCATGGCTCACCAGCAATTTCACACGTCTCCTGTACACTTACTAAGTGCCAGGCACTCTGCATGGCTCACCAGCAATTTCACACATCTCCTGTATTCTTACTAAATGCCAGGCACTCTGCATGGCTCACCAGCAATTTCACACGTCTCCTGTATATTTACTAAGTGCTAGGCACTCTGCATGGCTCACCAGCAATTTCACACGTCTCCTGTACACTTACTAAGTGCCAGGCACTCTGCATGGCTCACCAGCAATTTCACACGTCTCCTGCACCACTTAAAGCAAACTTATAGGATAGGTTTAAATCTTGTTTTGAAGATGACGTTTAAGAAGCTTAAATAAAACCCCTAAGAACAGTGAGAAACAGAACAAGGATTGCAACCAAAGTAGACTTCAATTCCATATTCCTAAACACTATACAATATTACCTGCCTTGTACAGGAGACATTACTTTTCATAGTGAAACCTAAGGACATTATTATTAAAATAAGAGAAAAATATAAAAGAAAAAGTACAAATGTCTTTCTCTTGTAATCATAATCACTACAAATGACCTCTTTAATGAGATATATTTTTGATTCAGTTTTATAGCATATACTATATAAACTAGTGGTACTATAGTCAACATGTAAGGTAATAAAAATTTTATTAAATATGCTAGTGCTAATCCATTATAGAAAACTCTATAGTCACTAAAAGTGACCAATAGGGAAAGTTACTGAAATATATGGCAGTGTCTAATTTAGGTCTTACAAAATAATTCAAGACACAATCCCTGAACTTTACCCTCATTTGAAAAGTCCACCTTTGGTTTCAAAAGGAATGGAACTCTCCAAAATAATTTTGATGGCTATTTATTAATAACAGTATGATTCATATTATTCTATTTTAATTAGTTGTGCACATAGGCAATGTAGATATAAGGCAAGCTGGAAGACAAGTCATTGTTGACAATTAAGGAAACCAATAAAATCAAGGAG